GAGACATTTTTTAAATACATGGATTACCTGTGGATAGATCCTTCGAGGGTGGAAGGAGCTAAAGGCACTACCTCCACCTGGTGGGTAGTGGCTCAGATACCCTCCCTGTGCAGACTCCTGCTGGTTTAAATGATTTCCAGCTCAACACAAACAGACTGTGTTTCGGGACCCTCCACTGTTTAAACAGACAAACCGTCCTGCCGTCTGCGACTGCGAGGATCAACCACACAAGTTTTGCGCTGAGCGGGAAAAACCACAGACTGTTTATATATTTTGTATTGTATTTTATAGACAGTATACAGGGATAACCTCTTTTTTTTTTTTTTTAATCAAAGCACTTTGCCCTGTAGAACAAACGGCACAAAGAGGCCCAGTTGTTGCTTCTCTGTCCAACCACATTATGAGACTTTTTGTATTTTATATCATTTATAATCCATTTATTTTAACTGAATCTTAAACCGTCCTGATCTGTTTCTGTCCTGACTGACTGGAACTGGAAACAAAAAAGTTTTTAAGTTTTCTCTTCAGGTCACCAATGATACTTCCTGTCTTTGCCATATATGGAGCTGGAGGCAGTGAGTGGGAGGAGCCTGTGTGAAGTTCTCAGCCTGTGTCTCTATGTGTTTGAAAGTCTGCAGCGAAATTCACACACTGTCAAAAACAGAAATATTTTATTGGTATTCAATACTAGCTATTCAATACTAGCTTACCATTAACAGAGTTAATAAGTCAAATATTACAACATAATTTAAGATTAAAGCTGCCGACTGTTGAACTTCATGGACAGACGTGATTTAACTCCTATGAGTCACAGCTCAGCTGATGGGAGTCACAAAGACTGCACGACTTTTAACTAAAGATTTATTAAATAAAACTTAACAAGGACAAAGTCAAACAATCAGTTACATCCCCAGTGTGCGGTGCATGAACGAATAGAAGATGTAGTGCAATGTACTAAAGTCCAACCAAAAATAACCAACCATATAAATGAAGGGACTGACCAGTCCAGTGGGTAGCAGATGAGTCAGTCAGCTGGACTTCCTGTTAAAGGTAGATAACAGTGTGCAGAGCGCTGTCACACCTGTAGTGTAAATGTAAAACTGTTGCTGATTGTCAATCACAAGTTGTCTGAATATTTGTGGCTTCGTTACAATGCGGACGCTTTCACACAGAGTTAGTTTGAGTCTGAATCTGAGTTTGATCGTCCCTCCCTCCCTTTTTATTTCAGCTAACAGATGGTTCTTCAGCAAATCTTGTGTTCCTCCCACTGGCTGTATTTGCCTTTTTATTAACACTACACATCAACTGTCAATCATAGTTTTGCTTTCGAACATCACTTTTAACTGGTTTTTGCCTTATTATATTATACAACAAATATATTTTACTTTCAGAGTTAACGCAGATGTTTACTTTGTTAAAACACATTTGTTACAGTCAGTGAACAGTTCATCAGAAGCTGATTTAGCTGCTTGACCTGTTGCACTAGTAAGCAGCACCTTGTATTTCAGTGTCTTTTCCAGTAACATTAGCAAATGTTACTGGTTTCTTGAAGGAAAAAACAGATTTATGGACTTAATGCATCCACAATCTCAATGAAAGTTAGACGAGATTAATTTGTGCATTATTTTTTTAATTTTTTTTTAAGAAAGATAATCTGGTATTACCAAGCAATAATTAAGCCCTGATCTGCCCCCCAGTGGATCTAGCTGTGCTTTTAGTTGTTTATTGTTCTGATTGGCAGTACGCTATAAAACTGTAGCTTTCTTATCTCTCTTGTTTTCTTGCTAAAATTCCACATTATGTGGATTTAAGGTTTCCAGTCGGACTTCAAATTGGCTTTTGACTGAGCAGGCACAGTGCTGAGACTACCACTTTCAGGTCGACTATGGGATCTGTAAAACTGTTGACATATCCCAAACTTTGTCGCTGTGTTTCCAGATTCAGACCAATCTATCAGTGTGAAATCGTTTATTTAAGAGCTCAGTCTGCTTCAAACAAACGTGCTGGTACAACGTCTGAGGGCTAGAAAAGAAGGTAGTTTGTCAGAAGGCCAAAGTATTTATAGTTGTTCCGAAACAGCCAACCTGAAAAGCAGAGTGAAAAGACTTGCGGACTCCTCCTGGCTGCATCCCACCGGCATCCTGAGCTCTGTCCAACTACTCTTTGTCTTTGTACTCCTGAATGATACAAATGGGGATAACGGCGCACAGTCTCTCCTCGAAGTGACAAAGATTGCAGCTGTCGGAGAGGGAGGTTTCAGACGCTGTTAGATGATCCCACAGGCACTTAGTCTGAAGTAGACTGAAGCCTCTATAAATAATCATAAATGCTGAATCATCTGGAGGCTGTTGCTCTGTCATTAGCTCGGCTGCACTTTACAGTTTAACCCTGTTTGTCTGGAACAAGCTGCACGGTTTCTTAAAACCCGACTGCTGAGTCATCTTAAGCTGCGGTTTAATTGGAAACATCTGCTGCTTGTTTTTTATAGTTCCCGTCACTGCTGAGATTTAACACTTTGTTGGCTTCTTTGGGAAAACTTCCTGCTGGGAAATTGGGAAATTATCCACTTTATGAGGAACTTTCAGCCATTAAATGACAGAGCAGCAGTCCTCTGGAGACCTGAGCTGGATGTCTGGATGCCAGGTTTTGGAATTTGCAGACTAAGTTATAGTAAGAAGATTTAGTTTGTTGTGAGTATAAATCCAAAGTTGTGCTTATTAGATTCCCTGCAGTCTGGAAATTTTGAGAGAATTTCCGTGAAGAATGCAGGAAGGTGCAAATTTAATCAAATCAAGCTGCTGGTAATTCCACCATAAACGACTGTCTGTGATGTGTAGATTTAGAGCAGAGCGACATCCACTGACCAAACAAAATGTATGTGTGATGTATGTTCAGTTATCATAGCTTTAATTCAGCTCATCATGTTTAAACTGTGACTTTGATAAAAGAAAAAGAAAATGTTGGTTTCACTTAACAAACAACCTGCTGATCATCAAGTCATTCATTCATTCATTCATTCATTCATTCATTCATAGGTACCAAACAGACAGAAGCACTGTGATGTGTCAAAACAACATAAACCCACCACTGTCACTTTGAATGAAATAAAAAATATAAAAAAATTCAAGAGGGCTGTTTTCTATCATGAACTCTGGAGGTAAATGTTGACACAATCAAACTCAAATGAGAAAAGTTCAACTGAGAAATTTGATGTCTATAAAAGTTCTTCAACGTGGGAGAGTATTGCTGCCACCATGGTAAAAACAATCAGAGCTTGTAAGTCATGTTACAAAGTAATAAACGTTTCTAGTTAAAACAGAATTATTTGGTATGTAGTGATTACAAGATGAACGCATGAAGCATGAAAAATATCTTTTTTGTTTTAACAAGAAACTTGATTAAAATGTATTTTTCTAACAGTGGCGGCAATACGCTGCCGTACTTACTCATTGAGGCGTTGATATCTTGTGACATCGAAGGCAACTGGACGCATCAGCTGTGTCACAATTCAGGCTCCGCCTCCTCTGTTGCCCACGTTTACAGACTGACTGATGTTACCTGAATTTAGAGAGAACTGGGGCACGTTCAGCCCCGGCAAAACATCTATTTTTGTCACAGTAACAGAAATTTAGTCGATACCAATACTAGTGAAATTCCACAATTCTCGATACCGATTTGATACCACAGTAAAAAAAAATATGGATGTTCCCAATCAAGTTTTTTTGCCTCGCGAGTATCTGCTGATACCGTGACGTGATCCAATACTTGTATAATACAGGTGAATAGATCTGCATTGCTTTAAGAAAAGCTTAAGTTGCTTCTTAATGTTTTTTTTATACTTTACTAAATAACAAAGTAGGCTATAAAACAGCCTAACAAACTCTCTCTCTGCCTTTAAAAGTGTCCTGTAGTGTTTGTTGCTTCAGTGCAGTTACCTGAATGAACTATATTCTGTGTTTATTTTTTCGTGGATTACATTAATAAGTTACTTATTGGTTTTTGTTCACGGGGCTTTAGTTCCACTTGTAGTGGCGTGGTGAGTGTGCATCTCTCCACTGTCCGTCTCATCTGTGAGCAGGAGCTCCTACATGAACGAACACACACACACA